TTGATCATTTTTGTTGTTGAGACACAAACATGGTGCACAATATCCGATTCAGGGAGAAGAACTGCTTATCTCTCTGTCGCACAATTATTTAAGGAGATTTTCTTAGTCTATTRCAGAGGCTTCTGCCTTTGCAGTTAAGACTTTTCTCCTGCAGACACAGGAGAAGAACTTTGCTGTCCTACACTGATAATATTGATGGTAACATTGATAATAGGGTGGCACTGTGGCCCACCCCACCAATGACTCTCTTCTGCAACCATTCTTGACATACAATTGAAGGGGAAAACATGCCAGTGACCTACTCAAGAAATCTTGGGATAAAAAGCATCCTGGGTTTCCAAATTGTGTAATGTTTGATATGACTGTTACTGTCTGAAGTRCAATACTACAGATGGGCTGGAGAGGGTGAATCTGAGGCAAACAGAGTATGCAAACAACGGTGACTTACCTGCAGAAATGTTCAGSCATATTCTCCTGGGAAATTCAGTGCTCAGTAAAGTATTTTTGTCCTTTTTCTTTTGTATTGTACAAGAGGATAAGGCCCGAGTGTGTCCAGTCTGTGGATCCAGTATAGGATCATGCTCTTCAGCAGGTGTGTTTTATTCAGGTACTGGAAAGAAAATCTTCCAGCTGCGAGGATGTTGCTATCCCAAGTTACCTGAAAAATACTGAGTATTCCATGAACCCTTCCCAATGGATGAGCTCAGGTTTATCAACGCYCCACCAGCTGTGTCCACTTCTCTGGAAGACAAATCTGACTATAAACAATGAAGGAGAGATATCCTCTCTGCTAGAAGAAAAATAGGGAAAAGATATATTGAAATAGATGAGATTGCTTACACTCATTACTCAGAGCCAGAGGAAGGAGCTGAGGGTCAAAGGAAGGACACCGGGTCCAATCCAGAGTGTGTGGAGGCAAATTTTGGTTGTCAGCTGGCCAAGGTTCGTGTCACCATGCTGTCAGCAGTCCTGTTCCAGTCCATTGGGAAGCATCCAGAGGAGCACAGCTGGGTGAGGAACATTCCAGGGCCTCACAGATAGCAATGCTCCTGCAGCTGGGGTCACTGGGAGAGGCACAGCAGCTTCCAGGCAGGTGCTTTATGGTCCCCAGCTGCTGTGGGACATCCCTGTCCCCCTGTGCAGCATCTGCCTGGGAATATGGAGCTGATGCCATTTGAGGCTTTCTGACCTAGAGTACACAGTGGTCACAGGYTTTTCCAGCAGAGAGGAGATGCTTTTCCAGTGTGATATACCAGCAGATGAGGGAGGAGGGAGAGGATTGACCAAGCCTCTTGAGAGAAAAATATATCACCTGGAAAATGCAGTTGTGAAAAATGCATCGCTGCATTGTGACCAAAATGCKTTCAGATGAAACACTGTGGTTCCTTCTTTGGAAGGAGGTAAAGGAAATATATAATTTTGACACATTGTAGTGTTCTGCAGTGGATTTCATCTTCTGAAGGTTGCTTTTKTCCTTTCTAGAAATATTTCTGAATTCTTGGACCATTGCATTTTTAACTCCATGACCCAAAGGGAGAATAACTGGRAATATATAAATATATATGTTAAAAAACCTCCACAAAACATGCTAGATAGCAATTCTATTTACCAATTTCTCTATATCCCTATATAAAATTTTTCAATAACTCTGCTGGCTATAAGTTTCATAAGGTCATAATTTTTTCAACTGCACTGTTTATATGGCGTGGAGATACGCTTTTTGGCAGTCCCAATATTCCAGGCTTGTCATATATTTCATGTGGAAAAACAGAGCTTTCCCAGATGTGGAACAGCAGAATTCTGTGATTTTTTTTATTTCTTTTAATATTTACCTTGGTAAGGTCGAAGCAAAATCTTATTGATTGTAAACAACTGGGGAGCCATTTGATCAGCATTGAGCAGAGTACTTTTTTTTTCCCAGTCTTCAAAGGATGATTAGCTCTTTTATAAATTAATAAAAGTCTCTAAAAGAGACCATGGCTAAGAGCTCCTTTTGTTTGCTAAGTTTTTCTCTGCTTCCCACACACATTCAGCCCACTTCTGGATATATATTTAAGGCAGAGARAGCTTCAGGATGTTTGTACAGTAAAATTGGCAGGAGGCAATCTTTCTTTCACTCACACAATTGTGCCCTCAGAATATAAGCTATGAACAAAACTAATATGATAATTAAATGATTTGAAAAGATACCTAATAAAATAAACAGTTCCACCTCAGCTCAGTAATAAGAGTAATCTTAATTTTCAGAGAGTGCATTTTATCTCGACGGTTCCCAGAGCTGCCAGCACTTTGCACATGTCCAGCCTCACATCAGAGCCTGGTGAGAGGCACTGCTGCCCATGGGGACAGCAAGCCAGCATGCCATGCACTGAAAACTGCTCAGGAAGGGGAGCTGAAGGCCAGGTTTGGGGCAGGAAACACATGACTATGGTTATACATGGAAAAGGAGAAGCAGTGGATGAAAGATTTCATGAGAAAACTCTCTGCTGATCAGCCTACACAGCATCTCCATCGCCTCTCCAGTGGCTCTGATTGGAACAGCCCAGGATTTCTGAGAAACAGCATTGATAATCAGAGAATCATTGACTAGGCTGGGTTGGAAAGGAGCTTGGAAAAATCATCTCATTCCACCSCCCTGCTCTACCMTTCCACTAGACCAGATTGCTCAGAGTCTCATCCAACCTCATTTCAAACACTTCCAGGGATGGTTGATCCACACCTTYTGTGGRAAAYCTGCACCAGTGCCTCACCACCCTCACAGGTAAGAATTCCAGAAACTTCCCAGAACTAGTTCTGGTAAATGACGCCACACTATTCCTGCTCCCTCAGCTGGTGTTTTTCTGGATCTCCCTGACACCAKATATGCACACAAAAGCCACATTTCCATCGGTGTGAGGTTTTTGAAGTAGCTCTGGCAGAGAACAAATCATTTCTGCCTGTTGCATCTACAATGAGGGTGAAGATGAGCACAGCAGTGTAACTGAGAGTCTCCTCATTATCCTGCTGTAACTGTATCTCAGAGGTAGACAATTGCCCCAGGCTTAGATTTTCTAAAAATTTATGTGTATCAAAAGGGATCTTGTACAGGCAAAAAGCAGCAAGTTGATTTTTCCAAGAGCAGCTTTGCCATTTTAAGCAGTTGCTGGCTTAATAAGTGAAATAGCTCAGGGCTGTGTGCATGCCACAGTGATTGCATTCTGTAAGAAAAGACTGTGCCTATGGGTCTCCAAGGTTCAGAGCCAAGACTAGTCATACTTGTGGTCTTTAAGTCACAACCCCAAGCTATTCTCACCACGGTAGATAAGGGATAGCTGATCGTAAGAATAACACTGATTCCAAAATAACTAACCACAGCAAAATTAAAATGACCTAGTCAAGCAATACAAAGAGTGCATGATTGACAAGATAGCGTTCTTTGAAATGTACTGTAGGCAGTAAATAGCATCTTATGCCCATAAGGTATTTTCTGTCTTATAGCCAAGAATAATGATCTGGCATCTGTCCTTCCTGAGCGAGGATTTGGTTCTCAAAGCTGCAGCAGCTCCCTCCCAAATGCCTCTGGATATGATAGCAGGGGTGTGCTCATGGCTTGTAATTATACCATGGGGTGCTTCTCTGCTTTTTTCTCCAAAAGGGCTTCTCTCTAATATAAACATCTGTGCAGGGTGAAACGGGAAGTTTCACCTCTTGCTCTTGTGCTTAGATGGATTTAACTCACATTTCCTTGGAGTGGGTAGCCAGGCAAGGAAATGCAACAGGGCCAAAATCAGCAGGGCCAATTCCTAGTTTATCTCTTCCCCCATTAAAAGCCAAATGGCATTTCTGCTCGTGTTTGGTACCAAAGTAGCTGCAGGGCACTATAATCACTGTCTTGTAATCACTATAATGTTTCTATTTTCTCTGTTTGTGGCATGTTGCAAATACAACCACATAGGGGCTGAAAATTGTGACTTTCCCTGGACCTGATATGCAGTAGGGAAGAGTAGAGTTCCCCAGGTCTGCAGCAGCAGGATTTGCCGGTAGCACTTTGGCAGCCCATCCCAGCACCTGAACTGCATGACCAGCCTCACCTCAAGGAGCAACAGGAATCAAGAAATGCTAATAAGCTACCAGATTTTTGTCTTTCTTTTTTTTTTCTTTTTTTTTTTTCTTTTTTTTTAATTTTTTCCCCCCTGGTATAGACTGGAATGCAATCTGGTGAACAGAAAGCTCTTGGAACATGTCAGATGGCTTTGAGGAAGGCAAAATGCTGCCTCTTTCAATAATGGTCTGTTTTCTGATGTTGTCATGGAGCTTTTTGTTGGTTTGTTTTGTTTTGTTTTTTCAGTGAAAAGGAGAATTGTAACTTCCTTTACACCAGTACATTAGCATAATACGTTCCTGCCTTCAGGTACTGTATGTCATTGTTATGAGTACATTTTGACATCTCTCACACTTCCAGCACTCCAAAGATCCATGACAGAGCTGAATGAAAACTTTTTTTTTTTGACTTGGCAGGAGCAGTAAGAACACATAAAACCTGCCAGCTGTCAAGGATGTAAATGGTGATTTTGTTTCACTTTTTTAATGAATTAAAGCAGGATTGAAATCTGTCCAAAGACAGCATGTTGGGCCTTGCAAGGAAAGAAAAAAATGAAAAGGAGGGATTCTTTTTTTCTCTTTTGGCACTTAATGCTCATGGAGTGTTTATTCTTGGTAGCACAGTATAGGACAGAGCTACTCTCCTGGAAGAGCCTTGGCTGTAGCAGGAACTTGTTTTGAGAGAGAAAGCATTTGAGGGATTGAAAAAAAATCTTAATTCTGCCTTATTTCAATACAGGCACCTGAAAATTAAAGCACCCATCACTGCTGTGGAGATGGGTGGCAGCAAAACAATGGCAGAAGTCATTTTGTGTGCCATTTACAGGTTGAAGCCAAACTAAAATCTGATGGATTTTTCTTACAAGTCATGTTTTTGCTGCCATCTTGCTGAGGCCACTTTTTGGGGTGACAGGCTGGAGTTTGAGGCATCATGTACCTCTGAGGGGGCATAGAGTCCCTCTGGTCCCTCTGTGTGCACTTCATTCTTCAGGGGAGAAAATATGGTAAAGAATTTGCCAGGTGCTTTGCTTTTCATGCCCTAATTTTTGCTTAAGATGGTCTCCCATCCAAGAGCCAGCCAATTTCAGGTCATAAGTTTCCAAGCTGTGGGGGGGTTATCAGTTCTGAATGCTATCTCACCACTTTGAAAATTGAATTTCAGATGCCTTAAACAGCAYTGGCAGAGGGAAATGAAGCTGTTCTTTTGGAAAATGGAGTGACTCACATCAAAACAAGCTCACATTGACKGATGTTCCTGGACCAAAGACCATCCTGGAAGCAAAGCTCAGCTCTGGATTTGGGTCAAGTTCATCTCCAGTAACGTGGGCCGAGCTGGTGCAGTATGGAAGAGGTTCCATGTGCCTGGCAGGAGGTGAGTGGAGCACATTAGCTCTTGCAGGGATTTACAAACAGGATTCAACTTGGGCTTTGTGAACAGACCTATTAATTCAGTGTGGCTTCTCAAGCAAGCCAAGCTCAGGCTGTACTTCAGCCAGGTGATTTAGACAAAATAGAAAGGAAGAAATTTGTTCAGACAAAACAAAAATGAGTCCTAAAATCTTCCAAAAAAACTCAGGATGAACCCAAATTTCTGAAATAAACTGTGTAACTCCCTTTTCCTCCCCTCGCCTCTCCCCAAGCCTCCTAAACCCCTGGCACCTACCCTCTTTAGCTGGAACAGAATGACTCTTCTCAGGTTTCCAGCCTCTCTTCAAGTAGGAAGTATAGAAAATCTCACAGGAAAGCCTTGTCTTATGAGCTTTCCAGGCAGATTTTCTGAATAAAGGGAGTCTTACACATTTCAGCTATTTATTTAAAGTCTTCCATCCCCAGCTTTAATGTAAGTCTTGAGACACAACATGTAATTAYAGGATGACAATCTGCTAAACCCTACAACCACTTCAGTAAACTTTGTAGGATTGTAGGAAATATAGTGAAGTTTTGGATCCTCCTTTTCTCTTTCTTCAAGAGAAATCTTCATTTACAGCAGCATGCCAGGTAATTGCAGCACTTACATATCAGAGTGGAAAAGAGTGACCTGATGAAATGGGCCAGCTCAGCAATAAACATTCAAATGCAATATTTTCCTCACTTTGGGGCAGCTGTGGGTGTTCTGCAGAGCAGATTCACCCACCTCTGGATCCTGCTGTTAGTCACCATTTCCTGCCTCTGTCTGTGAAATGSGGAGAGCCTACTCAAAGAAATGAGTCCAGCTTCCTCCTCCTCGATGGAAATGAAAGCACAGGAGATGAAAGGCAAGGAATCCTCGATGTGTTTCCAGGTCATGCTTTTCTCCGCCTGGTTTGGGCCTCAGGAAACATCCCCATAATGTGAGACCTCCCCAAGGTGAGAGGGAGCTGAGCCCAACGTAGGTCCACAGCAGGTACAGCCATTGATAAAGGGATGAACAAAGCAATTTAGGCACCWAAATCTTGCTTTGTGTGGAAAAAAGGGGAAAGACAAGCATGCCTGAGGAGAGGAAGAGCCAGCTGACCACACCTCACCCTCTGCCCCRCAAGTCACAGCACATTTCATGCCACCAACACACAACCCTGGGGTAAACGTTGTGCAGGAGAGAAGTCAACAGTGATTATTTACTCCCTTGCTGAGGCGGTAATTTGTGCTGTGTTATGAAAAGTTTTAGCTTTCCTGATGTATGGGAGGCAAAAGGCCCCCAAATTAGGACGCTTGGGTGGGCACCTTCAATGRAGGGAAGGTGCCTGGTGTTTAGCCTCACTTTCTTTGATGGGGCCACAGYGCTTAACCGTGCTTAATCCTTTTTAATGAACACTTTGCTGATGCAAATCAGCCCACAGATGTCTATTGAAAGGAAAACACCAAAAAATCTGTTAGAAGACTGTGACTCTGTAAGATAGGTTTGGCCAAACTGAAGATTSCTACATAAAGGTGAGTGAAAAATAACCACAGTTAAAAACGCGCCTTGGGAAGGATGGTTCAAAGGAGGATGTTTTCTGAAGTGGTGGATTGTTCATTTCATAGTTATGAAAAGAAAAATAATTTGATTCTGCTCTTGTCTCCAAAAATAGTTCAGAACAGAGAAATACTAGCACWGTTTTCAAACAGGGCTTTCCTGTCCCTTAAACCAACTTTTGCTGAAAAGGCAGGAAAGAGCACAAAGTAACAGTGGCTGCTTTGCCAGTTGGAAAACATTTAGAAA